CCTCTACGTTTGAAGAGGCTGTGAGAATTGTTTTTAATGCTGAGCATAACTATAAGTCGGCCAGACTTGGTTGGAATCGGTAAAATTCTCGCTCTATGAGAGCAAACGTCTTCGAGTACCACTACCTTTAATAGGCCGGAACCGATGGATCTCAGCTATGCTGAAGATGGAGGTGAAGCTGAGCTTCAAGCTGCTGAGCAGCAACACGTTGTACGACGATATTTTACGTGCGGAAGCACTAAACACTTGCGGCCTCGTTGCCCTTTGCGTCATCAACGCCAGGCTATAAACCAACACTCGACCCCGAGTCAGAAGTCTGGTATGGCACGGAGAAATGCCGACACCCAGTAGGCGCGGGGCGCCCTACTGGGGAAGATCTAGGTTCTGTTACACCTTTAGAAGGTAAAGGAAGGCAGGGCTTAGCCTTAAATAGTACCATACCTATGAATATAGTGCGTGGATACAAGTCTGGCTTGTTGGTCGCCAAGGCGAAATTTAAGGGCTTTGAGAAGCCTTGGTCGATATTGATCGATTCTGGAGCGTCTTGCAATTATGCTCGACGCCGTTCTCTTGAGGGAAGTCAGCGTTATGCTGAGGCGCTTACAGCGCATGAAGGTGATTCAATCACGGTTCGTTTAGCGACTGGAAGTCGCGTTACTGTGCCTAAAGTTCCATTGAACTTATGTAAAAAGTTTTAAGCCTTTGACAGTTGAGCGCTGTCTTGTCCTAGATTTGGACTCAGAATATGATCTCATCCTAGGTATGGCTTGGCTGGAACGCCATGATCCATGGATTGATTGGAGGTCTAAGACCTTAGGCGCTACGCGCAATGTTCCTAGCGAAGTTTTGGAGAGTCATGAACCCACCTTCGCTAGTCAACAGAAACGCTATTGGTGCGAGCCTTTGGCAGAAGATGTCAATGTGCTGGATACTGGAATGTCTGAGTTATCTAAATCCAAAGTTACAAACATAAGTTTCGATCCTAGCTCGTCTAACATTAGTGAAACGGCACGTACTCCGTTGAGTGTTACTCGTTGTGATAACGAGTCATTGTATGCTAAAAGCATGGTTGGCCTAGGGCCGAGTGATCAAGGATGTAATTCCTTTGATGTGTGTGTGGTGGCACGTGAAACTACACCGAGTGCAGTCGGCCGTGAGAGCACCGCACTTAATGTCGGTAATGATGTTGTTGGCCATTTGCCATTTAGTGTGGGCGGCCGTGAAGGCACCACGCTTAACGTCGGTAATGGCATTGTTGGCGATTCGCCACACAGTGTGGGCGGCCGTGAGGGCACCACACCTAATGTCGTAATGACATTATTGGCGAGACGCCGTTAAATTAGGGCTAGACCCGCATGATGCACGTGGAGTGGCACGTTAAAATCCACTGGGTGTAGTGTTCGAGTTATGTAACACTTCACCGGATGTCGGTCAAGACATAAGCTCTCGTATAGAGCATACTATGGTTGGTAGTAACCATGGGGACAATATTGTCCCGACCCCTAAGGGGGGTAAGATCTCGATGAGACGATCGAGACGCCGGGTAGCAACTGTAAAGCGCCAGGCGTCCACACAGACACATAGTGATAATAGTAATACTCTATATACACTTGTGAATGGAGTGACTGGTCAGGTTGATGGCATTGTTTGCCTTGAAACCCTTCCATCTTTGGACGCTCTTTGTGAGCTAGACGAAATGTCTGATGGCGAGTTTAGCCAGGTCTTGAAGGCAGGAGAGTTATCCGAGTTAGCGGTCAATAGACCTGATACTGAGTTGAACTCTCCTCGTTAATGGATGAGTCTGTCTTTGAGGATACAAAGGCGGCACTAAGTGCACGAAGTGGATCTTCGATCCTTAAAGATTCTTTGGATTCGTTTTATCCTTTGGTTAAGGAGTTTCAAGATGTGGTGTGTCACAACCCACCTTCTGCCTTACCTCCCGATAGAGGTGTACGTCATGAAATTGACTTAGTTCCTGGAACTAAATACTGCGTAACACGGCAGTGGCCTTTGTCTAGAGAAAAGTGTGAAGTCATTGACGATTTCTTTCGTGCTAAGAACGCGGCTAGCATGGTTCGTGAGAGTAAGTCTCCGCACTCGGCACCGACATTTTGTGTCAAAAAGCCAAATAGCAAGTGGCGTATCGTGCATGCTTATAGTAAGCTGAATGCAGCCACTATATCGGCGCAGACGCCTATTCCTAAAAAAGGATGTTTTCCAGAACGCTAAAGTAGGATGTACCATGTTCAGTACAATCGACTTAGTTGATGGTTATTACCAACTGCTCATGCGAGCAAGTGATATTCCACTAACAGCGGTGAGTACTCCGAGTGGTATGCTCTGGGAGTGGCTCGTTATGCCACAAGGGCTATCTAACACCCCGGCTACGTTTAACCGGCTGGTAACGCAACTATTCAGACCTCATCGAGGCTATGTACAAACGTGTTTTGATGACATTTTTGTCCGTAGTCGTGCAATGAATGGGCGATCAGATGTGAATAGCCACATTGATCAATTACGAGCGGTGCTCGAGTGCATGCGGACTTATAAGTTGCATGCTAACGAATCTAAATGCATCTTTGGTGCAGAAGAGATTTCCTTTCTAGGGTGCTTTATTGGGAAGCGAGGCATTCGAGCGGATCCCGCTAAGGTAAAAGCCATAGTCGATTGGCCGGTTCCCAAGAACCAGAAGGACTTGCGTAAGTGGCTTGGCCTTGCCAATTACTTACATAAGTACAGTGCGAATTACGCAGATATGGCTCGGCCATTGTCCAATCTCCTTAAAAAGTATGTGGATTGGTGTTGGAGGTAACATTGGACATGATGCTTTTAAAGCAGTTAAGGAGAGTCTCCTTCATGCGCCAATATTGGCTTAACCCGATACTTATCGACCTTTCAGTGTCGTCTGTAACGCATCTGTCTTCGCCATAGGCAGTGCTCTGTTACAAACAGATGTCGATGGACGCGAACGCGTCATCGCATTCGAGTCTCGGCAGCTGAAAGCTGCTGAAAAGAATTATCCAGTTTTTGACAAAGAGCTACTTGCTATGAAGTACGCTCTTGTCAAATTCAGAGTACATCTGCTTGGCTCAAAGCCGTTTGTGATCTATGCAGATCATGCGTCATTACGCACTGCGACACAGTCGCCTCATCTCTCACAGAGAATGGCTCGTTGGCTTTCCTTCTTTGCCACATATAACTTCGAGGTGAAGTACAAGCCATGTAAGCAAAATTCTTTGGCTGATGCGCTATCGCGTCGACCTGACTATGAGCTTGCTCATGTTACGACTCTGTCGTCGTCAGTCACTGACTTAATCCGCGCGGCATATGCCAAGGATGATCAGTGTGTAGCTTTGCTACGTGCTCTTGGGAGCGATGAGTTTAAGACTCGGACATATAATTGTCGGCACGTATACGTGCGAGGCTACATCGATATTCCATCGATAATGGCCTGTTGTGCTATCGCACGAATATTAGGGATAACCCTCGTATCTCTGTACCTCATAGTAAGGAATTAAAGTATCAAATTCTCTAGAGTCACATGATACTGCTTTAAGTGGTCATCCCGGTGTGAGAAGACTTATAGCTCGGTGAGCCAAAGTTATTGGTGGCCCAAACTTTATAAGTGGGTGAGCACCCATGTGCGTACGTGCGAAACGTGTCAACGATTTAAACTCTCAGCACATGCGGCGGAGCCGCTGGCTAGTTTGCCAGTACCCACTGGTTGTTACGAGTTCATGAGCTTGGATTTTGTGTAGTCTACCGAAAGATTTGGAAGGCAACACTGGCATTGTGATCTTTGTTGACTGTTGTGCAAGATGGCTCACTCAGCGGTTGTGCTGGATAGCATCGATGCTGAAGGCACAGCAAAGCTGTTTATCGACCGTGTATTTTGCCAAAATGGCTTGCCTGTGGCAATTGTCTCTGATAGAGACCCCCGCTTCACTGGAAAGTTTTGAAAGTCTATCTTCAAGGTGCTAGGCACTCGGTTGGACATGTCCACAGCGGATCATTCGCAGACCGACGGTCAAACTGAGCGTGTTAACCGCGTCATCAACGACATTTTGGGCAGTGTTTGCGCTGATACGCCTATGCATTGGAGCTCAATGCTCTCTGTTGTTGAGCTTGCGTTAAATAAAGCTGTTCATGACTCAACAGGCTTTACTCCGTTCTATATAAACGGTCTCACTTAAACTCGCGTTCCGTAAACGCTACCACTCTGTGGTTCAGGGCTTGGTGGGGGAGAGGTTGACGATCGGCTTGCTGATATCAGCCCTGCAACTGTTCAAAAACAGGTAGGCGAGTTTCTCGCAACGCAATTAAAAGTCTTACGACATGTGCGTGACGCAATGGCTGATAGCTAAGATAACCAAAAGCAACAAGCTGATGACAAAGGCAAAAATTGTATTGAAGGTTATGAGGTCAGAGACTAAGTATTACTTAATGCTAAAAATCTACCTACAAATGTAGTGTCTGCTGTCTCTAAGACGAAGTTGCGTCCACGCTTTATTGGACCGTTTACGGTCACTGCCAAGAAGTGACTTGCGTATACGCTAAGCCTTCCGCGCAAATTGCGCACACATTGAGTGCTCTACGTAGGCTTACTTAAGCCGTGCCGGGATCCTTCCCATGTGAACTTGGAGGCGCTTGCGCTGACGACAAGGGTATTGCCCCGGATTGCTGTAGGCGAATCAGCAAGTCCAACTGAGCCTCTGTCCGAGTTTGAGCTTGCTCCATCGCCTGAAGGCGGCTTTGCATCGCATCCAGCATGCACTGGATCTTACCCAAGGTCTCTTGAAGACCCTTCACTTCGAGAACCAATTTCTCGTGGGCCTCCACCGATACACCAGCCGCCACCGACTTTGCTCGATGAGCATGGGTGTCGTCTATTTCATGTCGAGAGATTACTGAAATGACGTCGTCGTCAGGGCCAATACCAGTACCTGGTTGAGTGGCGAGGGTACCCTGAGTCTGAAAACTCGTGGTAATACGAGGTACCCCTACGGCAAATTGCCCTTTTGCTTTGGATGTTTTTGAGCATCGTGGACATAGTCATCTCGAGACCGAGGCCGTTCCCCACCACTAGTGGTGCGGGTTGGCGAGTAGTAGGCCACAGACTGACCAGCACTCGCGGCTACCTTAGTAGCCGAAGCATAGCGCGTGCGCTTGCGCAATTGGCCTCTAGCCTTAAGCTTGGCAAAATCTAACCGAAACTTGCGTTCGAGACGAACATCAGCCGCATGGGCACTAGCCCTTAGAGCAAACATGTTGCTGAGGCGACGCACATAGGTCACCCAGTGAACGAAGGCATCGTCTTCTTCGCTCACTGTTTCGCCTGCGAACAAGAGATTGGGTATACACTTGATTGGTGGAACCGGTGCACCACGTGCTTGCATGTCAAGGCGTGCCTTGTATTGACTTTGAGTCGTTAGGTGCGGCTCCAGGTACCTCTCAAGAAGTGCCCGGCAGCTGGTTACCTCCTCAGGAGTCTTAGGCCCATGGTTAACGACCCACGTTGCCAATGTTTGGCCGGCCGCTTGACGTAGACGTTCCTCCAGACTGGGTGGAGTGAACACATGGTCACGCTGGCGCTCAAAGGCTGCACCCATTTGTGCATGACGCTGAGCATTTCTTCTTGCTGGACAAGCAATTGCTGTTGCTCATCGAGCGGGTTCGTGATAATAGTTTCATCAGAACCAGATGCTGAATGCTGCGCTAGTGGCGCGCTCGCATCTCCACGTTCAGAGAACGGATTTGGGGTGTTCGAAGGTTGTGCCTCAGGCGTCAGTGAGTCGGACATTGTCCCTTTATCGCCTTGGACACTGGTATCGCTACCATAGTCCACTGCCTCCTCTATTCCGAGGAAGTCACACAGAGTCTTTGACTCGTTTAGTGATGAGGACATCGTGCTGGAGCGTACGCTACCGCGCGGTTTACCGATCGCGCACTGTTCTCGCTTAGGAATACAAGTTCAATTGACGTTTTGGTAAAGTCAGTCTGGTGGGGGAGGGTGTACTGGGGTTGCACGAAATTATGGTACTTTGTACCAGAGGTGTTACACACCTGAGGGTAACCCTTGGTGAAGGTGATATAGAATATCTTATTGGTTTGTAGGGGCTGATGAGTGTCAGCCATTAGGTACGAAAGATCTTTGGGTAGCATTAAGATATTCTATAGGCTTTAACAAAAAAAAATCAGATCCAATTTTGATCTAAAGAACACGTGGCTGGCGAGCCGTCTTGATCGTTGATCACTGATCACTGAGAGTTAGCTACACCTCCTTGAGGTAGCTACTCTTGAGCACTGAGTGCTGTCGATTCACTGAATCGTAAGGTTACCTGGAACAGGGATCTGAAGCTGTAAAGCTTGTAGACTCGTAAAGTCGTTAGTTCTTTAGAACTAAGTTGCTCGTAGAGCGTTAACTCTTCCTCTGACTTAAAGAGCTGTGTAGCTCCGCTACAGTTAGCGGGTCATGATCCTACTAGCGTGTCGTGATCCTACTAGCGGATCGTGATCCTACTAGCGGATCGTGATCCGACTAGCGGATCGTGATCCTACCAGCGGATCGTGATCCTGCTAGCGGGTCGTGACCCTGTTAGCAGATCTTGATCCTCGTAGCGGATCGCAGCTGGAGATCGGACTTGCGATTCTGGGTTAGGATCGCGGTCTTCCAGTGAGATCGAGGGTCTCGTCTTGCCATGTCTCACGACGGATTGCGTAATTATTACGGATGTGACCACCCTATAGCCTCGTCTCAGGCTGGACGATCCTGTCCACTTGGGGTTTGTGTACGCTATTGCCAGCTATCCGTCCCAGCTTGTAATCACCAATCATAGCATTATTGGCTTAACTGAAACGTGCGATCCGTGCGATCGCCGATTCAAGTCCCAATAGAAATTTACTTGTGAACGCTTTGCCACAGTACCATTTGTAAGGAATCCTGCAGCGACGTCGTCGCGACGGTCAGTACCAGTATTCGTACTTTGGCGAGGGTACCCGAAGTCGGAGAACTCATGGGAGTACGAAGTGCCACTGCGGCAGGATTGTCAGTATGCTGTTGGCGTTTTCGAACGTCGACTTCAGGTTCAGTCGACCCGTACCGCTTCCCACTTGTCGGTGTGGGAGTGGAAAGGGGTCCAATTGCACCAAGCGCACTGATGCGCGGGTCCGTAGCTGCTGCAGCATAGCGGATGTGATAGAGTGATCGCAGTTGGTCTTTGGAATTCTGTTTGGCAAATCGAAACGCCTATTCCTTGCTCGCCGATCGTCGTCAAAAAAAACAATCTCTTGGAGATTTCACAGGCTTGGCAGTCGACGTGCTCTGTGCCTAACGCGTGGAGTCGACATCATTTTCCGCCTCCGTCTCACCAGAGAAGAGAACGATGGGTATCGTCGGCATGGCGGAAACTGATGCACCTTATTCTTGCAGATTCATCCTGTCAATGTACTCTTGGACGGTCATCGAATAAACCCACAAGTATCTCGCTCTGAGAGCCTCCCTCTCTACTAGTGCTCCGGCTGTTACAGCCTTGGGCCTCGTGGTCCATGTCGCGAGTGACTGGCCAGCAGTCTGACAAAACCCTCAACCACAGTAGGTGGAGTGAACCGGTAGCCATTGTGAGCATTGGCTATGGCTACAATTTATGCTTGGCGCCTGCGGTCATCAACCGACTGAAGATATTTTGCTTGATCTTTTTCGAGAGTGTTGTGCAATACATCCGACGCAGGGTGACGTCTGCACGCTATGCAATGGGAGAAGGTACCTCATCTCGTTCCACGAATGTATTCGGCGCGATGCGCGTGCCGCGATGCGCCTATGGCTTATCTGGAGGATGGTCGTAGATGGTAGAGGCAGCGGTGTCACTCGCGTAGTCTACCATACCATCTTCGAGGTATTCTTCCAAGGTGTTGGATAAATGATTTGACTTAGTCATTTTGAGACGCGTTGCAAATACGATAGTCTAGGACCAGATCTTTAACAGACCTCAAAGCGCAGTAGAATTTGTTTTGACACAGCGGTGTCGACAGTTTAGTGGGAGAGGGTGTTACGGTGTTACACGCATATATTTTATCCAGTTATGTTGTGTGTACATACCGCGTAAAGATCGGTGGATCTGAGTGGTACAGTCTTAGTACCACGTACTTTCGGTACTACCGCACCTGACAGGTTAAGGATAAGGAATCAGACTTCTGTCATAAGATCGTAATGTAGAAGTCAATCAGGCAAGGTTTTAGGGTTTTATTACCGTTGCTAAACAGAAAAATAAAATTAAGTTCCCCTTTTGAGTCGTTGGACGCTAGTGACTAGTCAAGGCATAGCGTGTTGTAAGAGTGTTGGCCTTGTGAAGGCGTTAACTCTTATTTAACTAGTAGTGACTAGTTAGTGTGTGATTCTGTGAATCGTAATCCTTTTGGAACCAAGATTGTTAAGCTTGCACGTTTGAACGACTGTACGTCGTTGTTAGTTTGTTATAAGTAAGAGACTCTTTGATTCCAAGACTTCCTCTGTTTAGGAGCTCTAAGGAGCTCCGCTACAGCTATCGCTCTTCTTATGACGTTTAATTAGACTTCTGCAGCGCATGCATTCGACACCTTGGCATTTTGCGGAGACATTTTATTGGTGAAATAGTTCCAGACCGCCCTAGCTGCGTAAGGAATATCATTACAATGTTATAATTAACTACGACCACGTTTGAGACCTTTATCGCGACCTGTGTGATTTTCTCCTGAAGATCGATAGCATCGTCGTTGAAGTTATCGACACGTCACCACACTGGCATAAGGAAAACCACGATACGAGATAGTTTTGTTTAAGCCTGTAAAGTGCTAATCTTTCTTATGAACTGACAAAACAATAACTTCTGTTTGCGTCCTTGAAGCTGCAGGGGTCAGCGGCCGGCTGGATTGTGCGTGACTCACGCACTCATTGGATATAACACCGAATTAAGTAGTTTCTGAAAGTTTGGAAGACGTCAGGGTCAATAAAAACCAAAAAAAACAAAATCTAAAATTGCTGCTAGCCAGTATTCACATACACACTTTGTATCCCTACACGCCCTTCGTTTCGATATCCATAAGTTTATAACGGTAGCCTAAGACCATCTCTAGAAACTGATATTCACAAATACAAATGATACAGGAAAATCTATTTGCATTCCCCGCCCATATTTTCACTCCTACGTAAACATCATACACAAGCCACAAGTACGGAATTTTAACCCTTTGTTCACCTCCTTTGCTACATCCAAACTAAGTCTCTGTCCCACAACGTCCCTTCCCGAGGGATCCTAACCCTGTCTGCGCGGGACGGGACGCAGGATGAGCCGGTCCCACCCCGTACGGTCTGCACACCCTGCATTCAACCGTGATCTTATCATATAAATTTAAGATTCTATAAAATTTCTATGATCACAAAGTTCTGTGGCAATTAAGAGAGCGTAATGAAAGCGTCACCTATAATATCTGCATATATTGATAAAATTAGTACGTACTGTCATTACTAACCTTTCAGGTATGGCAAACATTCAGGCATTACAGATTTTTGTAACGAAGATTTGGCTGCATCTAGCGACGATCCGATAAAAATCCTTAGTTAAATGGGCCTCGCGACATCAGCTAATGGTAAGTGTGAGTTGTTTCTTGGTAGTGACTCGGTTGCTTAAAAATCCCACCGGGGGATTGGTTTATTGCACAAAGCATCAAAGTTGCCTATAAACAATCACATTAGATTAAAAATTCTGGCCAAAATCACGCTTTAAAACGTCATTACTCACTAAAACAACCGCATTTATATCGATGCATGTGGTAAAAGTTAGTAATGTCGTTACCACCAAGTTTAAAAAGAGCCCTTCTTTCATGAGTATGCCTTAAGCAGCACCGTTCAGGATAGAGTGGAAAAGACATTGTGATGTCTACCTTAGTTGAAGCAGGTAAGCACTGATCACAAAGAGAGAAAGTTGCTATTTGATTACATTCCTCATTCTTTAGAACCTTCGACGCATGTGGACGCGATATTGTGTCTACAGATCTGGTCGTACAAACATGTGTAGTGCATGATATTCAATGATCTTTTCCCGCAGTATCCTGCGTCCGATCCCATCCTACGGGGGATAAGATGCGGAACCAGGCCAATCACGCCACATCCGGCACGGGACGGATCTCTGCTCCACACCAACCCGATCGAAAAAATGCACTTAATTTATAACATGCCATTTAGCATCGACAAGATTGCAGCATACTGGATTTACATTCCAAAATGGACTCTAAGATGTCGAATGCCGAGTGCTAGGCTCGACGCATGCATTAGGAGAAATTCAAGAGGGATACATGTGAAAAGGAGGACACAAAATGCCATGTTGACGGTCTTTCGATCGACATACTGCGTCTGTAGGATGTTACGTGTTTAATGTCTAAAATGAGCTGTAAGAACAAAATAAGTCGCTTTTTCACCGCTAGATGCGTCCAGATTCATTACGGCGTGTGGAAGTCAAAAGAGACGTCTGGCTGGTAGATGGAATTACTGGAATTGAATGAAATAGAGTATGTAGCAGCAGCTGTAAGCTAAAATCCTGATACTTGTACACTTGCTCAATTTCTTGCTTGGAAAGAAATTATCAGTTCCTCGACTTGCTCCTAGCTTGAGCAGCTCTGCAGGACCTTTTTAGTGCTGATTTGTTACGGGCGAGCAAGAAAGCACAGCGACGAGTACATTCCTGTACCTCTTGTTTGGCATCTGTACCTTTCGCCATTGCGGAGTAGGGTAAACTGGTGCCCAGGCGAGGTAGCATTTTTGGAAGAGACGTCGAGCAGAAGAGACATAAGAGAAAAGAAAAGTCTCGTCGACTGAATAAAAAAATTAAGGTCAAGGTTATCGACCTTACATTGGGGAGAATCACATTTACTGCCAAGCGAAATAGCGCTTTTGGAGCTAGCGGGAGAGGAAGAAGCGGTAAAAGAAGGGGCAAAAGATGACAATTTTTACAGTTAAAGAAGTTTGGAGCGACTAGGGCCACTGACGACTCAAGCTTCGCGTTTATAATAGTAGTGTTTGTGCGGCTTTTTGGATTTTTTTACGTAAGTCCGTGACAATAAGGGCGTGCATTGTAGATAACTTTGATACAGGATACACTGTCGTACTTAACAGGTGTTCGTTGAGCGATGAGTGTCAGCAATCCTTTGAAGTTATCAAGAAAAGCCTGATACAATCGCTTGTGTTGGCAATTGAAGACCAGGGCAGACCATTCCAAGTGGTCTGTGACAAAGGTGGTTTCGCAATAGGCTGCGCTTTGATGCAGTACGACTCGGACAAAGTTGAGCGCGTCGTCTATTATCAATGGCTTCAGCTGCAAGCTTCTGAGCGTAACTACCTAGTGCATGACAAGGAACTCTTTGCCATGAGATACGCACTGGCTAATTTTCGGGTATATCTCTTAGGAGATAGACCCTCCATCGTTTGTACCGATCATGCGTCATTACGCACTACCTTAAACAGTCCACACCACTTGCAACAAATGGCGAGGTGGCTGTCTTTCTTCGAGGATTACAACTTCTCCGTCGAGTATAAACCAGGACGACTTAATGTCGTCGCTGATGCTCTTTCGCGTCGGCCCGATTTCGAACCGACTGCTCAACCCAACAGTAGGGGTGATCCCACACTCGCGACACTAACAGTGAGTGTTCCGTCGTCTAATCTGCTCGATGACGTGCGTAAAGCATACACAGAAGATGAGCCTTTTCTGCGATTGATGGATAATGTAGCCAATCCATGTAGTCAAGCTTTGAAAATCTTGTCGTCCCAAAACCGCTCTTCAACCGAACGGTATTCGGCTCGTGATGGACTGCTGTACTATACAGCAGTCAACGGCGACACACGTCGTTCCCGCTCATAAGAATTTGTGATTGCGCATCATACATGAGTGTCACGATGGTATAACCGGTGGGCATCGTGCGAGTGAAAAAACTTGCCTCACGGTAAGTCGTGACTTCTACTGGCCTCGCCTGTAGGCTTCAGCCGTTTGCCAACTAGTGAAGCCTAGCCCTTCATCCCTTGGCCCTAGCAGCCTCTACCAATTCTGGTAGAATGCTGGCAGTCCGCATCGATGGACTTCGTCTTCGGGTTTCCCAAAGGATCTCACAAGAATACTGGTATTCTTGTGTTTGTTGATCGGTACAGCAAGATGCCACACCTCGTTGCTGTACCGAAATCATTCACATACTAGAGTTTTGCTCGTGTCTTCATCGATGCAATCTTCCGACTTCACGGGTCACTCCTTGAACTCGTGTCCGACAGAGACTCCCTTGTCACAGCGTAGTTTTGGCAATCCGTGTTCCGTTCACTTGGAACATGGTTAAAAAGGTGTCGGCTTCTGACCATCCTGAAACAGATGGTCAGACGGAACGCTTTAATCGTGTCATTGACAAGACCCTTCGTGGGGACGTCCACTCGTTTAAACGTTGGCGCGAATTCCTGCTGATGGAGGAATTCGCCATCAGCAACTCGGTGCGTGCGTCGACAACGCGTAAACCGTTCTTCGTGAATGGCCTACGTCATCTACGTTTGCCCGCCTTCTTTAAGTTTGATCCTTATTAAAGGGGCGGTGGACTCGCTCGAACAAAACCCGATCTGGTTCTAGCTCATCACACGTCGACAATGATGTCAACGTGAAGGATGCTGATGTCGATCACATTGACATCGATGATGATGACGACGACGATGCTGATATATAATAGCATCGCCAAAGCCTGCCACAGTATGGGCGATGACGCCCTCACTGATGTCGACAACGTCTTTAAGCATTGTGCACAAAGAAAAACTGCTATTGACAAGGACGAGTATGCTCAGGAATTTCTACTGGCTCGCGAAGCGGGTGTCCGCTTCGTTCAAGATCCATTGCAGACGCAATAGATAAACAGAAAAGAAACGCAGATAAACTTGGAAGAGCAGTTGTTCTTACATTAGATAAAGAAGACCTAATTTTTCTGCTAACAGTAATGTACAAAAACATGAAGGCCGACGCGGGCAGCAAACTACTGCCCAAGTATGTCGGTCCATTTCGTGTTTTACGCTGCATGGTAAACGCATACACGATTGAACCGCCTCGTAGGATGCGTACACATCCTACGTTCTAGTTGGACGTGTTCACCCGTAATATCAGTACGAGCTCATTTCGAGAGGCGTAAAACACCTCCGCGGTCAAGGGCCGAGACCGCCTTCGAGGGGTCTCGTTTCAATGATTTAGTCTGGTCGACAAGCGAAGCGACCTGCTCACGCAGTCGAGCGATGACCTGTCGAGCTACAGTCAGCTCGTCACGAAAAGAAGAAATAAAGCGTTCGAACTATCGTGCGCCAAGAAATTGTGATAACCCTCTACAAGGTCATGATGTTCGCAGCGCCGAGTCCGTTCATGAGCCAAGTCATCGTGTAACTGGTCCATTACACCGTTCAGTTCCTGAATATCAAGCTGATCCGACCCTCGAGCCGGATCAGGTATTACCGCCTCCACCATATCCTTTGGTGGATTCTCGCGGAAGTCAACGCTTCATGGTGGAGCGTATCTTGAACCACTGCGACGTGGAGGGCGTCCAGAAGAGTTACCTAATTCACTGGTGTGACTATTCACCGACCTGTGACAACTGGGAGGCTCGTGTCCAGCTGATCGATGACATTTTGGGTCTCATCGAGCGATATGACGAGTCCCACCCGCTGCGTTCGAAGAAGGGCCTTCGGTAAGCGACTTCCCCGAACGGAAGTACAGACAGGTATTGCAGACAGGTAGTGCAAAGTGTCAATCCCTTCAGCCCTCTCAACAGAGATGCGCGCCCTCGAGTAGGAAACATTAGAAAGGGAGGCCTCCCTAGGGGCACAATTAGCATTATTTAGGTATCCTGCACACGGATCGCCTCAGTAAAGACAGGGTAACCATGACCCTCTTGACAGTCGGTGCAACTTGTACCGTACACCGACTGTGTTACGTTTTTCAAAACTGATGCGAGCTGTATCAAGTTTACCGGTACAGGCTTCACGGCCATTGTACACGATGTTATGGGTGAAGCATTCCATCCCTGCACCAAGGATTTATTGACGCAGTCAGGGTTGCCATTGTACCGTCAATGTTTAGAAAACACATCGGTGTAGAACTTTTCCTCAGCACGGATAGTTCCGTGCTGGAATTAGGAGGACAGAACCTCCTACAATCGAACAACGGGCTTTAATCTCGTTCGACAATCACACCGGTCACCCGATTTAACTTCATGGATGATGGCATACAAGGAGACTCCACTTGAGAAGCATGGCGCAGGACATTGCGGTCCCTGGCCTCTTGTGTGGTGTCAGCATGTGCACTGACACCAGTAGCAGCTCGATCCCTCAAGTTGCTTCTCTCGTGATAATTTAGGTGCATTACCACCATCACTACGCGTCCCAGTGTCCAAAGGACTTGTATGAGACGAGGATTCGTCAGACGAATTGCTCGGTCCGAAGATTTTGGACATGTAGCCGCCACGTTTCCCAGATCCAGTCAATCTGGCTCTGGCAGTGTCCACCCCGGGTTATCCGGAGGCAGGAGGCGCCGCCTCACAGTCGGATGCATCATGCGATCCGTCCGAGTAGATGAGATTTACGTATGGCTCATTCACATTGCGAGCAGCAGCATCCGCTGCAGACGCAGCGGATGTTTTCGTCGGACGTGGTGACTAACAACGGACTAGTCGCAACGGGCACTGCCTGTCGCTTACCTGCAACAGCAGGCAAATGACCATTTGCTGCTGAGGCTTGAGAAGTACTCTCTACGGCGGCACGCATGTGTGCGGCCGTAGAACCGCCTTCCTGACATCTTTTTGGCAGCTCACCGCATGGATTTCGAAACCATGCAATGGAATTGGCAAATGAGTTGGGCTTGGCCAATAAGTGCTCCCTTTCCGGAGTGATCTAACGGTATTTACCATGTTTCCGATCAATTGAATTTAATCAACGGATGATTGATGGTTAAGGGGGATGTGTAACGGGGTAGCCCGTTACACGATATTGACACCAAACGGAGTCAATAGGGAGATTGTCTAGCGTGACAGCTTTCTGTTAATTTTACCTGAGGTAGGTAACATTGAAGGAATATTATCCTCTTTAGGACAAAATCCGTGTGCTGCTCAAAGATTGGTCGACAAAAGACATATTAACCAAGTTTACCGCTATTCACTGCTAGACGTCCGTAATGGCAGGTGAGCAGCTTGTCGTCTCACGGCAATGGAGATTGATATAGTTAGATAAAAAATTGAAGTTATATAGTTTGCTGGATTAACTTTTCCAAATACAGATTTCCTATTACCTTGACGTAAACTATTATTCAAAGTGGATTACGTTCCTCTGCACGTACGAGTGCACGTGAGTTTAGTGGCACCTAACATAAGGTTGCCCTGTTACAGGCTGTGGGCTTCTTTTTTAGTTGCCACCACAACCCCTGACTGCTTGGCGTTGAGCACGATCATCCCTGACTCCTTGACGTTGCATTGCATGACAACAAGAGAACGAACAAATTCACTGGCGCTGCCATCGATACCACACATCGTATGCTTCACAGCATCGAAGCGCTCGGTAGCGTAGGGTCAATCCGGTGACCTGGGGCCTTGGGTCAAAGACTTGTATGCATTAACGGACTATCTTTGTTGTCATGGTCTGATAAATACAAAACCGAACCGTGACATGTGGAGTGAGCGTGCGCTGTCTTGAGTGCGATGTAAATTGAGAGGATCCTTGATAACATGTAAGATCGCAACGTCATATTTGAAGATGAAATGGACGAGTGCTGGCGTGCCTACCTCACCTTACAAGGAACAGCTCCAAAAGAGGCCTCGGATTATACGTGTCGGAACCCAGCACGTGGCCTATTGACGACAAAGGTTGTGTTTGGCAATACTCACGACTTGTCTCGTTCGGACGCTGGGGAGGGATGAATGTAAGGATGAACGTACAAGATCGATCGAACATACACTACGCCAACTACACAGCATCCATGTATGGAATAATGTGCGAGGCTTTGGATCACCTGTAATGAGTCCTCATCCAAAGCACCGGCTGCCTGGACGCGACATCATTCCTCGATGCACGCATCTGGTTCACAAAATCATGAATCTCTGGAATGGATCTCCAAAATGGATTTCTTGAATGGATCCCTGGAGCTATTGAATGCACACTCGGAGCATTATCCGCGTTGATAACTTGCAAAGACGAAACTCCGACTTCTTTGTAGATTCGAAGGACTGGTCACCCACGGATGAATACGCAGCAGACCACCGACATGGGCGCGAATCGTGAATCGAGGAAGTCACTGATTCACTGTACTCGGTGACGCATCATCAGTCATCCATCAGTTAGCTTTCACTCGCTCACTGACGATGGATGACAAACACGTCTGTACGAGAACTACCAGAAATGTGCTTGGAAGACTGAGTCGTTCGTATCGTCAACGGATGAGGGCAACCGCAGTCATTGTCAGCACTCACAACGCAATTCGCTTCCAACCGAGATAATTGAGTACCTTCCCTTCGAGCTGCACGCACACCGATCGCATTCACTCCGAGGCCATGAAATGCACCACCTTTCTCGTCGCTGCCATCGCGTTGCTCGGTGTCGTCACTTCAGCCGACCAACCTGTCGTGAAAACGTCCGCGGAGGCGCTAGAGAAGGTCCAGGCATCCGCTTTACCAGCTGGCGTCACACTGACCGGAACAACGGAGAAGATCGACCCACCTGCTTCAGCTGCTGCGGTTGCCACCAAGGAAGCCGACGTCCGTGAGAGCAAGCATGTTGGCAAGAACAACATGGATGAGAAAGAAGACGATGACGACAAGAAGGAGTTCTTTGGCGGAGGCCTCGGTGGTTGGGGCGGCCTCGGTGGTTGGGGCAATTGGGGCGGCTGGGGCGGCTACGGACCCTACCGCTTCGGCTTTATGTACGGCGGGATCGGCGGCTGGGCGTACCCGTTGGGTTACTGGAACACATTTGGTTCGGGTCTATTCGGTGGTGGATGCGGCCTCGGCATTCCTTTTGGCGGTCTTTATTACTGCTAAGTTATCGTCGATAGCAGCTGCACGTCACAGGAACTTGCTCGTCACGCTGGATGCTAATCGTGCAGTCAAGTCGGATCCGAGTACTTCGTGTCGCTACTTGTTGCAGCTGTTTCGTAGTTAACGATCGCACAAAAATGATGCAAGCAACGGTGCCAAAATGATGAAGCTTCAGTGCCAAAATAATGCAAGCAACAGTGTGCCAACACCGTCACTTCTTTTTCGTTGCCACCACAATCCGCTTCTTTTTAGTTGCCACCACAATCCCTGACTGCTTGGCGTTTAGCACGATCATCCCTGACTCCTTGAAGTTGTTTAGCATGACAACAAGAGAACGAACAAATTCACTGGCGCTGCCATCGATACCACACATCGTATGCTTCACAGCATCGAAGCGCTCGGTAGCGTAGGGTCAATCCGGTGACCTGGGGCCTTGGGTCAAAGACTTGTATGCATTAACGGACTATCTTTGTTGTCATGGTCTGTTGATCACAAAACCGAACCAACCGAACCGTGACATGTGGAGTGAGCGTGCGCTGTCTTGAGTGCGATGTAAATTGAGAGGATCCTTGAAAACTTGTAAGATCGCAACGTCAGATTTGAAGATGAAATGGACGAGTGCTGGCGTACCTACCTCACCTTACAAGGAACAGCTCCAAAAGAGGCCTCGGGTTATACGTGTCGAAACCCAGCACGTGGCCTATTGACGACAAAGGCTGTATTTGGCAATACTCACGACTTGTCTCGTTCGGACGCCGGGGAGGGATGAATGTAAGGATGAACGTACAAGATCGATCGAACATACACTACGCCAACTACACAGCATCCATGTATGGAATAATGTGCGAGGCTTTGGATCACCTACAATGAGTCCTCATCCAAAGCACCGGCTGCCTAGACGCGACATCATTCCTCGATGCACGCATCTGGTTCACAAAATCATGAATCTCTGGAAGAATGGATCTCTAGATTGGATTTCTTGAATGGATCTCTGGAGCTATTGAATGCACACTCGGAGCATTATCCGCGTTCATAACTTGCAAAGACAAAACTCCGACTTCTTTGTGGATTCGAAGGACTGGTCACCCACGGATGAATACGCAGCAGACCACCGACATGGGCGCGAATCATGAATCGAGGAAGTCACTGATTCACTGTACTCGGTGACGCATCATCAGGCATCCATCAGTTAGCTTTCACTCGCTCACTGACGATGGATGACAAACACGTCTGTTCGAGAACTACCAGAAATGTGCTTGGAAGACTGAGTCGTTCGTATCGTCAACGGATGAGGGCAACCGCAGTCATTGTCAGCACTCACAACGCAATTCGCTTCCAACCGAGATAACTGAGTACCTTCCCTTCGAGCTGCACGCACACCGATCGCACTCACTCCGAGGCCATGAAATGCACCACCTTTCTCGTCGCTGCCATCGCGTTGCTCGGTGTCGTCACTTCAGCCGACCAACCTGTCGTGAAAACGTCCGCGGAGGCGCTAGAGAAGGTCCAGGCATCCGCTTTACCAGCTGGCGTCACACTGACCGGAACAACGGAGAAGATCGACCCACCTGCTTCAGCTGCTGCGGTTGCCACCAAGGAAGCCGACGTCCGTGAGAGCAAGCATGTTGGCAAGAACAACATGGATGAGAAAGAAGACGATGACGACAAGAA